AGCCTTGGCCAGAAAGGCTAGACAACCTCTTTACAGCCACTTGTATTCCTTCAGGAAGCTTACCCTGATCACATCATATTAATGCTTATATATGTTCAAAAATAATACATTGAGATGAGTAGTACTTGTTTAAGGTTGGGGATCATCACCTTATAGACTGGCCCAAAACCTCCTTCTCCAAGCTTATTAGCATCCGAGAAGTTATCTGTAGCGGCTAATATGCTTTCAAATTCAAAGAATGGTACTCCGGTGCCTTCTATATTGTCTTCTCTTGAGTGTTCTAGATGTATTAAGTCTATAGATCGTCTTTCACTATCATCCGTTTGAAGCATGAAATTTCTTCCTACATATGATAGACAACTCAATTAGACCAAATGCTTGATGTTATTATACCTTTCTAGGTGAAAATCCAAAAGCTCTCACATAAGTTGATTCGCGTTTTTCTTTTTGACTGGAAACTGATATGGAAGTTAATAAATTCATTTTGCTGTATTTGTAACCAAGGGTTGCTAGATACCTTGTTCATGGGGGACCAGTCTCCTGTAATATGTATAGCTAAGGCTGCATAACAATAAGATCATAAGAATTGTCAATGAAAAGACCAAAATACGTGTCTTTGATAGGAACGGTGATGAATCGCCACGAGGAGTTGGAGATGGAGATCCTTGTGCTGAGTTGTTATAGCCTATTGTTGCAACAAAAGCATTACAAAGAACCCAAATACCATGGCTATAAAAATTAAAAAATACGTAAAGAATAAGGGAAGATGGTACAAAAATATACAGATTTAATGAAGTACCTCCCACGCCTCTGTTAATACGGATGTAAATATTTTCTGTTCCATCCATTTGAAGATTATACAGTTCCGATTCCCACATCCTGCAGCTGTTTGGACGACGGGAACTTCCCTGTTGCGTTCCTGTGTTTCCACGAGAAAATGAATAAGCCATGCACAGGCAGTTTTCAAGACATTTGTTTCTGCAATCTGATTCAATTCTTGATTCGATAGATGTTGGATTCGAAACTTCTATCATGGTAACATTGAGGAACTCGTCGGCTTCACCAATGCTACATATTTTAGGCTCGTGCCTATAGCCTTCTGAATAAACTCCAGGTTCATTAGCTTCAAATCCTGGCAAACAACTACATATAGGTTGATTATATGGGCTACAGAGACCATACCGCCCACACACTTGAAAATTGCTACAAATATCCTTCGGCTCTTCCCAAACCAAACTCCATGCTTTAGCAGATTCCACCCATGTAAAATACTGTATGTTTCCAGTGTGACTCATCAAAAACCTTGCGTATTTAGGGAACATTTGGTTTAGCTCCAATTTGTAATTCTTTGACCCGATTCCACTTTTCCAATGAGGAGTTGTTCCATTCATAATGACATATTGCATCGTCTTTTCTTCTTGGAACACAAAGCTTCCAGGGGTTGGGTCGTCCGGGCTTTTCCAGGAAATCAACTTTGAGTTCATGTCCATTTTCATACCATGAAGAAAAGTATCTGTAGGATTATCAAAACTTTGCCATATAAAGGTATTATTAATGTCTATTAAAACAGCATTTCCATTGTCGAGCAATGCCAACGTCTTGTTAGAAGCTCCCCCTGGCAACACAGTGATGTTTCAAACATGTCATATTTTGTAAAAAGATTACACAGTTGATGTCACGCAAGACTAGAGAAATGACAAAAAGCATAGCAAAACTCCTTCACAGTGTTTTGTTTTTGCTGTGAAGGTTCGGATTTTGCTGTGAAGCTTCAAGTGTAAAAATGTGGTCTAATGAAAACAGACTGATCTCATGTGAACCGAACCCTGTTTCTAGTCATTCTTACATAGTAGATGTCTTAGAGACATGTTCTGATCTGTTTCTCGGTGAAAACTACAGTGTTCTCTTATATTTCATCAAAGTGCTGCAAAAGATAAATAGGGGGTAATATTCTCATTGCCACCAAACGACACCATATCCGACATACGAAAATAATGGATCAATGTTTTTAAATATTTATTGAAATAAAGGCAATGCTGAGAGGGACCTGAATGAGCCACGACATAACTCAAAAGTCATCGTTAAGTCAACACCCCATATACGAATAGTCATCAAGAAAGTGTAGGATAAAATTGAAGTTATTTTTGTGGATCATTTTCAATTCTATAGACTTATCCATTCAGCTTCACAAATAAGAATTCGAAAATCCAAGAAATTGTGATAATTGTGAAAACTAGTGCATCATGGTGTTATTTCACGTGATCTTTTTTCATCTATGGCTTGGATTTTTAGCATACTAATTGACATATACTTTTTCACAATGAGTTTGTTTCATAATGTGAACATTTTTATGTATTCGTGAAACAAATATATGTCAATCAATACACTAAATCCACGTCATAGATAGAAAAAGAATCACGAGAAATAGCGCATAATCCATCAAGTTCTCAAGGTTATCACAATTTCTTAGGTTCTCAAATGATTAAGATCGAAAAAGAGAAAGAACCGAACCTGTTCTTAATGGGTTCTTCACAAGAACATATGATGTTATATATAAAACAAAATGACAACCTATTAACCATATAAAATGTACATTAACGGACACGAAACATGTTTATCGTGTCATGCATAGTAAAGTAATTTCAATTTCGTTTGTTGATATTTGGATGCATATATAGATAGGGAAGACAAAAATATTAACGTATTGTTTGTGTATATTATAATTAATGTAATTGAGTAAGGTGACCAAATACTAAAGCTCGAACATGCAGCAAAATGAACTTGAGAAGTTTCTGGTACCAAATTTTCATGGTGCCCAAATGAAAAAGAAGCTTAAGTTTTGACTTCACTTTAACTAAGTTGTCCCACCTGACCCCACCTGACCTGCGTCTGTACTGAAGTAACTGTTTCCGTTTCTGTCCAGAATCCTAACACCTTCTTCTGCAACTATAAGAGCTCCTGTGGAATCCAGCACCGGATTATCACGGTTAGCAACCCACACCACAGTGGTGTTATCCATGGCATACCAAATCCCAATGTATCGTCCTTCTTTACCTTGAAAGAACCCCATTTGAAATGTTCCTTTTGGTGATTCCAAATAATCTGCTCCGTCGAGAATTCTTTCTCCTGTTTTGATGTTGTGCTTAGCTGAACAGCAACAATGAGGATAAAAGCACAAAGAAAATGTACAGAAGAAGCAAAAACAGGTAATTGCTTTGCTGGTTGATGATATCAT